TCCTGGTCCTTTTCTTTGACAACAAGAGAACCTGGTCAGTCCTCTGGGGTGTTTTGACTTGTGGTTTTATATTTTCTAAATGTAGTCAGTCTCAAAGTTAGTCTCTTCTGTTTTTAAACTGTTACACTTTTTCTGCCCCCCTCTCCCTCCAAATGATACCTTTTTTTTTTTCTTTTTTTTTCTTTAAACAACAAAAAAGCAAGCAGTACAAGCTTCCGATGTTACTGGATGTGTGCGCACAAGTCAAAGTTGAAAAAGAAGTTGAAAAGAATCCCCCATTCCTATTACTGAAATGCAAGACAGCAGAACCTTTGGCAGAAGTAGGGCAAATGTGGTTTTGCAAATAGAAGAGGAGGACAAAAACATGTTGTGTTTAACGTCATAGTGTGCTGCAATCACCTCAGAAACATGCACCATTGTCATTCTTTGCTGCCTTGTTGATGCCCTTAAGAGCATTCAGGAGTAGAAATCAGGTCAGGTCAAACCCCCGGAAACAGGTAGACAGAATCATATGAAGAGTTCTAATAAGCAGGCGGGGGGAAGAGTTTTTTCTAATGATAATCTAAAGTAATAAGTAAATGGTTGCCATGGTAAGCATAAGGTTTTGAGTCATGATTGAAATAGCTTTAGTAATGAATAAACTGAAATGATTAGGTTAGATGATTAGGTATGTAGTTAAGCAATGACTAAATAGTTGTGTAAAAGTGACTGATATGGGAATTTAAAAGTAGTAAAGTAACTAACAGATACAAAGTGAGAGTAAGCTAAAAGTATCTGGTTAAAACATGAAGGTTAAGTAGTGGGTGAATTGTTAGATGCACCGTTCGGTAAAATCAGGAACGATACTGATGTCTGATATAACAATTTAGCCGATTCCCATACTGATGTTTGTTCCATGACTTCTTTTGGTGCAATACTCCCACAATGCCACCATTTTCTCCCAGGTTTGATAATGAAGACAAGTTAGTTTGTTTAACAGTTGACTTAAACGCACAGGGTGTAAAATCCGCCGCCGGGGTGCTCTCAATCAAAACAATAACAGAAGATGATGACGAGGCTGACGGGGAATCATGGGAGTGATTCTCTCTGCTACTCCCCACCCCCCCCTGTTGAAAACGAACGGGTGAAACCCACCTGAGAAAGCGAATGTGTTTACCAATGATGTATCCGAGTGTAATTTTCATGACGTTTTTATCACAGCAGCACATACAGCAACAGTACGGCAGCTTTCAGCAGCAGCTCCCGCTTCCTTAAGCAGCGGCCTTTGACGTAAAATCAGGTGTTGCCTTGGCAACGATAAACATTTTGTATCTGTCATGGCGGCTCATCACGCGGCTGCCGCGACAAGACACGTCCCATTACAACTATACAATTACAGACTTCTATGGCTTTGATAACTGTTGGAAATATTTGAGGTAATGTAAGTACTCAACAAAAAAATCTATACGTATAACATGTAACAGTAACAGGCTTACTCAATTCTAAATGAACTTTGATATTTGAACGTTAACATTGTCATAAAATTCCACATATTATACCTTTAAATATCTTCTTCTCTGAATCAGTCTTTAGGTGTACTAGATGCCAGCATTAATTTGATTTAGCTCAACAAATAAGCATCGACTACTGACATCGGTTCATGCCACGTTATTTGCCGATGTTTGTCAACAGAGCTAATATCGACCGATATCGATGATAAACTGATGCATCGGTGCATCCCTGGTTAATTGTTAAAATACTTAATTTATAGTAAACCTTTAACAGTTGAAATAGTTTTCTGAAGTAATACATTCATTGTCAATATAATCAACTTAAGGTTATGGATAAACAGTCAAAACGGTTAGCTAAAGTACGTCTTTATGGTTGAAATTATTAGTAAGGAAATTGATTTATGGTTGAGATTGTAAGCTTAAGTAATGGATACATGGTTAAACTATGAGCAAAAAATAATGGATTAAAGGTCAAATTCAACCAAATTAAAATGAATAGATAAAGGGAACCCAGTTGGCTTAGGTCATGGATAAATGGCTGATATAAAGGTATGAAAACATTTTATTACAATATCCATTGTTGTACATTCAATCATTTTAAATGTCTTTTATTTAGGAAGTATAATTGGATTGGGAGTTAAAGTTGCTGTTGGTTTAAAAATGTATGGACTCTGGACTGGATGAGCTGGACTTACCAACTGATGTGTCTATGTTGATGCAACTTTGTGTGTATCCAGGCAGTGGCTGCCGCGCTCGAAGCTCGTGCCGCTAGGTGTGGACCAGGAGCTGGACAAGGAGAAGATGCTGGAGGGCAGAAAATCAAACATCCGCAAGTCAGTGCAGGTGGCCTACCACCGCGCCATGCAGCACCGCAGCAAGGTGCAGGGAGACCCCAGCAGTGAGACCAGTGACAGTGACTGAACATATACACACACACAAACACAAACACAAATGTAATGTATCCTTGCAGATGTTGTAGAGCATATGTTTCACTATCAAGAGCCTGAGCCTCCATCACAGAACACAAAAACCAGTGCCAGTAGCAGAGAGTGGGGGAACAAATCCTCTACAGCGGCCCGAAGACACAAACACTCATGCACACTTAGCTGTATTTAATCTGACATGTAAAATATTGTATTTAAGAGAATGGAAAAGAAGGTTATTAATAATGTCGTTTGGAAAATATGCTATGTTCAGAATCATAAATGGAAATATTCTTGGTATGTGGTCAATATGTTGAACACCAGATGAGAGAATGGTTTACAGACTCTTAAAATGAGCGTAGTATCGCATAGACAAACCACATCTCCCGTTGATTCTTGCACATGTGGCTTTACATTTGAACAGGGCATGTAGTGACCATTAAAATGCACACAGTTGGTATGGCTGTTCAGTCCAACAATCAAGCACATCATCCCCCCCCCCCCCCCCCCCCCAAAAAAAAAAGCCCTGTCATTTGTCAGTGGGGCACCAAGAGAGACAGTTTGAACCCGTTTCAATGTTATTTATTCTGCTGACTCCTTATTAACAAGGTCAACGAGCCTGTTTTATCATGGACTACTTCTAATCACTCCGACAACACAAGACATTTTTGTGGGATCCTCTGTTCTGTTGTTGTCTGTATTCATCATGTCTCCTGTTTATATGATTTTTGTAATCTGCATCAGTGTCACACAGGCCTCTGGTCAACCAATAATGAGGACTTAAACTGAAACACATGATCGCCTCACTGTCTGTTTTAGTCTCAGGCTGATGGCTTTAGAACTTTTATATATACAGATTGCATAAAGATAGAAGTTTAATAAAAAAAAAAATAATTGAGTTTTTTTTTAAACTTGTGGGTGGTCTTGTGGTCACTGCGTGTCTGTGCTTGTGAGAGTGGACAGTGTTTGTTCATCCTGGTTTCTTGAATCATATCTAGAGATCGCTATTCGGTGGAATATCTCTGTTCAGCACAATGTAATAACTTGATAACGTGAATGCACTATACTTCAGTTTGGGTGATGGATTTGAAAAAACACCAAAACGTCACTCTACACTGGGAGGGGTTTTCTATCTACTGGGGATAATTTGTATTTAAACACTCAAGTTTGCTTAATTTTTTTTCCAAGATGGGGGTAAACTTTGTACATGTCTTAAAAATGTTGTAGGTGTATAATAAACCTGGGTACGCCCTCAGGATTTCCTCATCATAAGCGATGGTGTTGAATCATGGGGAAACAGCGTTTGTAGATAACTTTTTTTTTTTTTTCTGTGGGGGTGTTAGATTTAGACAGGGTTTGATCATAAGTGCTTCACACTGCTTTTTCCTCGTGCAGTATGTTATTGTATATAAGACGCAGACTTACTGTTCACCGGTTCTACTGGTTGGACAACCTTGGATAAAAACAAGAAACCATGTCTTACTGAACATGCTCTTTAAGAATCTTCATTTTTACATGCCTAGAAGTCAAGTTGAAAAATGCACTGGTCAGTAATATCCTGTCAGTCATTGCTTTTTTTCAAGCTTTGATCAACATTACATTTCCCAAAAGTTGACTGCTTGTTTACATCATAATTGGCTGTATTAGCTCAAGTGCATTTGATGACAAATATCTCTCCTAACAACCACTTTTAAATTTCCTCTGCACAGACCCAAGGTTTTTGATCATAAACTTTCACACACTGATAAACATCCCCCACCTGACTCGAACTCCTACTCACCACAACCACTATGTCTGCTCATATGCAACTAAAACGGTACCCCGTCTTGAGTAAACCACATTGTTTCCTGCCGGAGCAATGCTCGGAATGGGAGTGGAAACAACTGATTAGCATCAGGTGCAGATGACATATCTGTTGACGCTGTTGAATTCTGTCTCTTTGTACACATATACTATCACTTGGGCTAACTGTGTGGGTCTTGGAGGTTATACATTTTGAATGAATGTTAAGTTTAGATGCATATGCTTTAAAGAAAGATTTTTAACCAAAGACCTGGAAGGATTAGATAAAAAAAAAAAAAAAGTAGAAATTGTTTTTTTTGTTTTGATATATATTGCCTGCAAGTTACCCAAGTCTTTCAGTTAAATGAAGTGAAAGAACCTCAGCTATGTAGCCTTATAGAAAAATAAAGTAGGACAAACTTAAAATATACCAGTGAAATACCTCAAAGGTGTATTCAGTTAGAATTACTACATGGCTGTGGTGGTTTTAGTAATAAAAACCTGCAGATGTACCCTGTTGGGTGCTTGATTAAGCATTATCCTTAGGGTGCTCTTCCACTTGACAGAATGTGACAAAGAAGTTGCCTTTAAAAACAAAAACAAATTCTTGTTATTGCATCCTTTCTGGCATCACTCTAGTTATGCACAATCCATGTTGTGTGCTCTGCATCTGCAATCTTTTTTCCACCCTAACCACTGATAACCTAACCGAAAGGTGACTTCTATCTGCTCTTAGACTGTGGGAGATATCACTTCCTGGCAGCAGAGGCCTAAACCCGACAGTAACCCAGTAGCCATTACAGTGGTGTTGTTGTCAACATGAAAGTTCTGTAGTTTACGGGCTCTACAGAAGACTGAGGTCATTTCTGTGTGAATGGGCGTCGACACAAAGTTACCTCATAAGGGTAGTGAGGTCACAGTGCCCTGTAGAGGCGGAGCTGAGGTAGCTGCTGTTATTCATGAAACCATGTTTTCTTTCTGAAAGACGGCTTCATGCTTTTAGTAATTCAGCAGGAGTTCAGAAACATTGCAGGTTAACTCGGTGGCTGTTAAGTCCTCCATGACGGCTCTCACTCCGGGCGCTTGCCACTTGTTTCATGGCTCAGGTTGTCGGAACTTTCCAGGAGAAACCGTCTGCTTGAATCGGCGAAGACCTTGCGAGGGGACTGAATACAGACTTCTTTTCTTTCTTTCTTTCTTTTTGAGTCTGCTAATATTTCGTAATGGTAATGTTTAGGTTTAAACGGCACTTCTTCACCGCGGTGGCATTCATCGTGGTGTCAACCCTGCTGCTGGAATGTACCACAGCATGTCAGGTGAGTTGAATTCAACTTTATATCATTATGCAGGTTGAAAACCATTGTGAGTATTAAAATAGCATCACCTACAACTCTGACTGAGCCAAATGAATGCATATATCAGCCCTATGTTCCCACAGGGTAGGGTAAGTTACCCTCACCCTAACTGATACAAATGTATGAAAAGCAAATGTGGGAACATCCCCTGTTTTCAATGAGTTATATACGTGTTTTCCTTTCTTTTGTCTTGTATTTAGAATGGGGATCAAAATGGTAAGTCATATTATTTTTATCTGCTTATCTCATCAGAGCTATTTTATGGACTACCAACACTAGTTACAATAGTGCTGTTTTTTGTTCTTCTTCTGTGGACAGATTCTGGTGAAGTATGCCGGCATCTGAAATTGACCTCAGCACCCTGCCTGGAGTCTGAATGTGTCAGCGTCTGTGTTTGGAGGCAGCAACGTGGTATGAATTGAAAGACATGTTCAATTATTTGTATCACATCTTTCCTCATCTCTAAAATAGTTTTCCGTATGTCTGATTAAAAAGAAACAAAAGTGTGATGGTTTCTTTCAGGTCCACGTAAGGCCCGAGAGATTAAAATTAAGCCCCAAAGTTTAAACAATTCTTTTAAAAACAAGAAAAACAAGAAAAAGGTAGGCCATGTTCTCTTTGTCCCTGCTAAAACTCTGTATGAATAATATCATGAATGTACTGTTCATAATCCTAAATGTTGGTCTCTTTATTCTGTTTTCCATAGTGTAACAGTGAAACACTAGGGGAAACAAGAGTCAGATGTGACTGGGTGCCGGTGGGTTTTTTCCAGGCTGTAGCAGGAACTTCTGTCACTATTTCTTACAGAACAACATCAGAGATCAGTGTCAACTATGAAGTTCCAGGTATTGTGTTCAGGATAGCTGGCTCATGTTTTGGTTAATTTTTCCTTGCTTCATTATTAAAAATCTTCATCAGAGCGTGGGTGTAGCCTATAGACTGTATATAAAAATGGACACTGTGCCTCGGCCTCCTGCAGTTGAACAGGAAGAAGCCAAAATATTAACATGAAGGGGCACTGACGTTTGCGAATCTGCTGCCAGAGCCTGTGCAGTAGGGATCGTCTGTAAGAGCCGCAGTAATGGATGTTGCGTTGCTTCTGCTAACAAAAAACAAGAACATTTAACTTACCGACACAACTGTTAAAATCCCACGGGTGGGTACAGTCCACAGCAGAACAGATTCTTGTAGAAGCAGACACTCATGGTGTTATAGGTTCAGTGACTCTTGTTGGTGTTTATGTTTTTCTCTTGTGGTTGCTGCTGCGCCGTTTCACAGCGTCGCAGGAGCCGCATTCATCAACAGAGCTGTCAATCAAGACGTTTTTCAGTAAAAAAAAAAAAAAAAAGGTAACTTTAACACAAAATGATGTGAGAATGAACTAATAAGAAAATGTTGCTGATATGCATTTAGACTTTATATATGCGTCAGGTTCTATCTGTTAACATTTTACAAACGGTGGTATCCCTAAGCAGTAATGGGCAGCTAATCGGTGTTATTACTGATATGATGAAAGAAATGTGATTCATTTTATTCAAATACTTACACTCCTTCATCTTACCCTTTGAATAGGGGAATTCTTTACACTGACAGTTAGATTAGTAAAGCTCATCCGAGATAACAAAAAAAAAGATCTCTTAAAATGAAATGTATTTGATTTGAATGCGTTTATCATATGTCCATAATTCTCATTTTTTCCTTTAATTCCTCTGCACTGTTTTGGCCTGTTAATAGTTGTTGATCAAATCCTTTTGTTGATGTGTGTTTTTGTTAGACCCCAAACCAGACTTTGATTTGTCTGTGAATCAGTCATCTAAATCTGTTACTGTCACTGTGGAGCCTGGACACAAAGTCAGAACCAGGTGGTGCTACTTAAAAAGCAAAGAGGGCTGCATTGGTGGCATACCTGCGATTACTGTAAGTATGAGTGAAATCTTTGTCAGCACCTATGTCATTTATTATAAACATTGTAAGTAAGCAAGGTTCTTTTTCTCTCCAACCTAACTTTTTTTATTTTATTTTTTCAGATTGATCCTTCAAAGTCTCGATCAGCTCTTCTCGAAATCCCTTTCCTGCTGCCCTGTGTCTCTGTGCAGGTAATTTAACAAGTTATTTTTATGTTACTTTTTGTTGTTGTTTAATCAGTCTGTTTGTTTTCACACCTGTTCATGTCTTGTCTGCATGGAAAGGCATATTACACCCATCCAGATGCTTCCAGACGCCAGAAGTACCCATTTCAGGGTGAAAGCCTGGCAGGTGAGTGTGACGGACAATTCATGTCACAGTTTATTTTAACACTGTTCTGACAAATGAGATATTCCATTTAATATTTACTGCTGTAAATGTCAAAAATGTAAATTAACCGTTCTGTATTTTAGAACAAACATTTTTTTCCTTATTTGCAGTGAGTTACACTGAACGATCAATTCCAGCACATAATTCCTTATATGGCCTATGACACAGAGGACGGCTATATGTTCATCCTGTTTCTAGTTTTCAAGCTAACCCAAGCTAATGGGTCACCTGGCTGTAGAATGACACATTTTTAAACCGTCCCTTGAATTCTATTGACCTCAATTGTTTGCTGACCAATTAATTATCGACAGTCAAAAAAAAAAAAAAAAAAGGTTTTTAATGTATCATATCTGTGTCCACATTACCTGTACAGATGTCACAGATGTTTGGCGCTCCTCTAAACTCATTCCGTTCGAGTCCCATCTTCAATGGAGCTCAGAATGTCCAGCCATTGACTTTCAGATCTCTGCCTCCCTCTGCTGGCAGCATGAACACCTCTGCACAACTGTACTCGACCTCACACCGCAGGAGACAGGAGATGGAAACCTAGTAAGGTTTTTTCTTGTTAGTGTGAAAACTGCCAACAAATCTCAAGCTCTAGTTATCTTCGCTCTTTATCTTGCTTTAATATTATTTTTTCGGCGTGTGTATCCTCCAATGCGGTTTGTGCTACAAAACTGGTTCCAACATTAAATTGCACAGTTCATTCAGAAGATGTGCGCTTTATGGTTACATCATGTCTCAGTGATTTTATTTAAAATTCATTTTTAAACGTGTAACGGAAGTCTATAGGAGCTTTTTTTAAACACGATATGTTAGAAACTATAAGTGCTAAATTATTCAAACCCTCTTCCCATCTTAATATGCTTAACATATTTAAAAAGGATACATCTAGTGCCACCATTTGGTGTGTTGTGATAAAGACCAATAACTCATTTACCTTTTTACGTAAGAAAACAATATTCGCACAGTGTGCTGATTCTTCACAGTGCTGCAACCTATGGTCAATACAGAAGACCACCGCTCTATATTTCAAAAATATGTGAACTCAATTAACTCATCTATAATAACAAGTATTTACCTAAATGATACCAAATGGGCACAGACATTATTTGGATACGTCATATCACGTACATCAGATTGTTCTGACAGTCCTATAATGTGTAGTCTATGTGTCATAATTGCATGGTCAAGAGTGTTGCAGGCCTTTCAGCAGCAGCTTGCATATAACAGAGGGTGCAGAACAGACTGCAGACAAAAGGCTCCAGCAGTGATGGCAGCACCTGAAGCTCACAGCTGCCTGCTAGCTTTCTACAGGAATTGCCCGTTCTAGTTGTGTTTGTGATTCAAATGTGATAAAGGCTCTCTCTAACACATGCTGCTCTTTTCAACAGAATTATAACACATCTGCTGTTGACAAGCACCCTAACATGTGTGTAAAGGTGAGTAAAAACACATTTGTTCGTCCTTGCAACATGTCATATTACTTGCAGATTCACGTTTGTGTTTTTGTTGTTGTTGCAGTTTTCTCTTCAAGGGAGCAATAAAATCTACTGCCCCTTCCACTCTCGTGAGTCAAGCAGAAAATCTGAGATTTTATTTTTCATGTATCAGTGATAAGTCTCTATGTTTCTGTCTCTGTCTCTCTTTTGACTCCCTCTCTCTTTGTCCATCACAGGCAAGTCACCATGGAAGGTGTACATCAGACCAGGAAGGCAGAGCATGTTTTTGTATCTCACTTCTTCCATTCCAGCAAAGTTCTCAGCTCAAGTCTGTGCCCTAAGTGGGGAGGGATGTACACCCATGGGCCAGGTCCACTCTACAACAATTGTGAGCATATGTGTGTGTGTGTGTGTGTTTGTGAGAGAGCTGAGGAGAGAAATAAACTGTAAACGTTATGTTAAAATGTGAGTACATATAGCAACTACTTCTTGTACCTAATTTCAGGAAGGGAATTCTACTGAGACAAGGATGCTTGTTCCTCTTCACCTCAGTGCTGAGAAGATTTGCGTGCAGGTAACGCACTTGTCTTAACCCTGTGCACTGAAAATTAAAAATCTGGAAACAGCTCTTTTCATTTTGAATCTCCTTTTCCGCAGGTGTGGCAGTCTGATCCGGTTCTTCTTGGTAGAAGAATTCTGTGCATGGATGGTGAGTGAGACACACACACACACACATGGGCCAAAGGGTACTGACTCATGCACATTTGAGAATCAGTTCAAGAGGATGCATGTATGCACACACGTTTAACCACTAAATAAATGGATTCACTGCCTTTTCTGATTTTCAGGCTCGCATAACCGATGGGGCTTATGTGCTGTTGCCGCTCTAGTAGTTGTGGTTGCGATTGTGTTACTGGGAGTATTCATCCACCGTCTCACCAAGATCAGAGCTGCAGGTAGTTTCAATTGGCTCAATAAATACTAGTTGCAGGAACAGGTTCAATACATGGGAGTAATCATTGTCGATGTCTCAGAGTGGTTGTCTCCATCTTCAGATTTCAATTGATGTGTTTTAACTTAATATAACCGGTGCTATAAAAGGAGCAATTGAAAGCCTTTTTTTCCTCCTCTGTCTTTCCACATATTTCCAGGTTGGATTTCCATCCAGACCCCAGTGCTGCTGGTATGCTCATCAGAGCATTCAGCCCAAGTCTCTGCCATGTGTGCATTAGCCTCAATCCTGCAGGGTGACCTGAGTGCCACTGTGCACATGGCTCTGTGGTCCCAAAGCTCTCAAACACAGGCCGGGGCAAGGGCTGGGTCTGGAAATGGAGTGGCAGATCTGGGTCCACTTCCCTGGCTGTATGGGCAGTGGGAAACTGTGCTCAAAGCACAAGGAAAAGTGCTGATAATATGGAGCCCTGAAGCAAAGAAGACCTATGAGACATGGAGGGAGGAGAGGGTCAAAAACAAGGGAAAGGATGAAGAAAAAGATGGAGAGAAAGAAAAGGACCTTGAAGAGAATTTAAAACTATATGGAAGAAAACTGGGGAAATCCAAAAATGAGAAAGCTACAGGAGAAAGATTGCATTCAATTACCGGTATGTGATTATAGAGACTGCTACCCGCATAATGAGCCCTCTTCAGTGATAGCACCAGTGTTTATGGCTGCTCTGGCCTGCCTGGAGGGGGCGCTGCAGGAGTGCAAGTGTCAAGGAGTGGCTCTTGTCTACTTTCAGGGACTTTGCCGCAGCAGAGACATCCCGAAAGCCTTCAGAGGAATCCCCCGGTACTGTTTACCGCAGGATTTCAGGGGTATAATACAGGAGCTGGGAGGGATCAGAAGACAGACAAAAACAGGTACATTCAGGTGGCACTGCTGGCCCAGGCTCCTCTCTAAAATGCTGTCAATATGGCTGGCACGACGGTTGGCCCGAAGTCTACAAGCGCTGCTGCCTCAGACGCATGGAAAGAAAATGCAGGGGTCAAGTGTCACAACGTCACTTAAAATGAACTCAGATAAGACGCAGAGTGGGCTCAAGTTGCCACTGGCATCAAACAAGGCAAGGCCAGGGACTGTGCAAGAGCACGAGCCGCTCCACGTGTCCTCATGAAGAGCAGACACACTTTCATCTCAAGTTTCTGATGGAGACGGACTTTTGTTCTGCTGGAAACATGAAACATGCCAGAGACACTGGAGATAGTGTTACATTGTGAGCACCCCAGGACAAACACCCTGGAACTATTCATTACTTGTCAGCAGCATTAAAATGTAACCCCTGGTTTTGCATATTAACAGCAGAAATACTCCGTCCTGTCACATGCTTTAAGTTTTGACTATTCGCTCTTTATGTCGCTTTCATGACCAGGACTCAAACACCTGTCTTGTCTCTGTAAATATGCAACTGCTATGGAAATCTGTTTGCAAATTTGATCGAGTACGAGTTTATTTGGTGTTTTGAAACAGGTGAAAAGAGGAAATGACTTGAACTATAGGGTGCTTGACTGTTTGACAGTTAGTCCTTGTGGTGGTGTGTTCAAGTGTTTTACATATTTATTCCATTAGACTTTGAACCTGAAAGTCTACTGCAGCCTTGTTAAGAGCAGACTTTGTTAGTCTGCAGCCAGAGTATTACATATTTGCACACATAAATAAAGTAAAAACAAAGAACATATTTATTCATGTTGTGTTTTTTTCCCTTCAGGTATACCATACTTTTTATTTAGAAAACATGTCCCTCTGAAATTGCTCATCCTGCTTCAATGAACTTTGTTGAAATGTAAGCATGACACTGTCTGCATTTTCAACTTTTTTTCAAACTGTACTTTTAAAGAGGAACGAATAATCTAGATGAATGAAAACTGCTGTTTGAACATTAGGATGCTGTTTTTTCATAAGCTGCATGCATTTTCTAAAACCTGTTAATTCAGATGAGTAACACTGTAAGATCAAACCACTGACAAGAATCCAGTTTTTATAGGTCTATCGGCTGACATGCTCGACAGAGTCCATGAGGAATTCAATCATATTTTTTCCCCGCAGACTCATCAATGCTGCCAGATTGTCACTGATACAACATCAAGTTAATCATGTCATGGTTATTTTCTCACGGAAAGGTACAAACTCTGATGTGGAAACTGAATTTTGATGTACTCAGTATTTCGATGAGCTCATAAAACATATACAGATGAAAATTCAAGCTAAAGATCAAAACCGACAAGTGGGTTCACTAATAGGTTATGAGCCAAATACCACACATTTTCCTTGAATAGCTGAATAATCTGGACAGCAGAGGACATCCTCTTTGCTTATAAAGTTGTTATCCTTAGACCCCTGACTTCCCAGGAACTTAGTGACATGCAACAGATTTGGTGTACACAGACTAAAACAACACTGATACATTATGAACAAGCAGGACAATATTAAAAACAACTGCAAACATATTTGAAGATTTAAGTTCATATATTTAAAAACAAATTGTTTATGTTATTGCATTAAATTGGGAAAGGTTTTTATGTTTATCATTAGGTCTATAGTAGCATACAGTTAGAATTTAAATATACATGTATGTGAAGTTATTAGTTTCATTTATTTCAGTCACCTAAGGTTGACTTTGTTACGCCATAAAAAAGCTCATTCTGAGCCCCAGAATTTGAAAGTATTTGCCTTGGGCGATTGCATTTAAGATAGTTAAGGAATTTTCATCATAATCGTCCTGAAAACAAACTGTTCAAGGACCAGAGCGAAACACAGAACTCACACAGGTGTTTGGGCTACATACTATACACCTGATAGGCAAAAGATACCAACTCTTATCTCAGACAGTGAGTAAACTGACCTATTTAGTTAGATAAAAGTCAATGATTAAACTTGGCTTTCTAATTGAAAACATTCCAACAAAAGCCTCTGTTTCAATGAAACTGTGAACAATGCTGCTGCAGAGTTAAAGTGACGGTACCTGCAAAGGTAAATACGTTTATAAACTTGAAAACTTAACTTATTCTTTATAGGAGTCAGATGACTAAAAATATATATTCAAAAATGTCTTTGGACATCAAAAAGGTTACCACATTGATTCATGCCTTCCTCATTATTACCAACTCAACAGATGGGTTTACATTGTAATGTAACATGTTACAAACTGGTAGTATTCATATTGTGAACACAATTCTACAATGTGTGCAAATATTACATATTTGCACACATAAATAAAGTAAAAACAAAGAACATATTTATTCATGTTGTGTTTTTTTCCCTTCAGGTATACCATACTTTTTATTTAGAAAACATGTCCCTCTGAAATTGCTCATCCTGCTTCAATGAACTTTGTTGAAATGTAAGCATGACACTGTCTGCATTTTCAACTTTTTTTCAAACTGTACTTTTAAAGAGGAACGAATAATCTAGATGAATGAAAACTGCTGTTTGAACATTAGGATGCTGTTTTTTCATAAGCTGCATGCATTTTCTAAAACCTGTTAATTCAGATGAGTAACACTGTAAGATCAAACCACTGACAAGAATCCAGTTTTTATAGGTCTATCGGCTGACATGCTCGACAGAGTCCATGAGGAATTCAATCACATTTTTTCACCTCAGACTCATCTATGCTACCAGATTGTCACTGATACAACATCAAGTTAATCATGTCATGGTCACTTTCTCACGGAAAGGTACAAACTCTGATGGGGAAACTGAATTTTGATGTACTCAGTATTTCGATGAGCTCATAAAACATGTACAGATGAAAATTCAAGCTAAAGATCAAAACCGACAAGTGGGTTCACTAATAGGTTATGAGCCAAATACCACACATTTTCCTTGAATAGCTGAATAATCTGGACAGCAGAGGACATCCTCTTTGCTTATAAAGTTGTTATCCTTAGACCCCTGACTTCCCAGGAACTTAGTGACATGCAACAGATTTGGTGTACACAGACTAAAACAACACTGATACATTATGAACAAGCAGGACAATATTAAAAACAACTGCAAACATATTTGAAGATTTAAGTTCATATATTTTAAAACAAATTGATTATGTTATTGCATTAAATTGGGAAAGGTTTTTATGTTTATCATTAGGTCTATAGTAGCATACAGTTAGAATTTAAATATACATGTATGTGAAGTTATTAGTTTCATTTATTTCAGTCACCTAAGGTTGACTTTGTTACGCCATAAAAAAGCTCATTCTGAGCCCCAGAATTTGAAAGTATTTGCCTTGGGCGTTTGCATTTAAGATAGTTAAGGAATTTTCATCATAATCGTCCTGAAAACAAACTGTTCAAGGACCAGAGCGAAGCACAGAACTCACACAGGTGTTTGGGCTACATACTATACACCTGATAGGCAAAAGATACCAACTTTTATCTCAGACAGTGACTAAACTGACCTATTTAGTTAGATAAAAGTCAATGATTAAACTTAGCTTTCTAATTGAAAACATTCCAACAAAAGCCTCTGTTTCAATGAAACTGTGAACAATGCTGCTGCAGAGTTAAAGTGACGGTACCTGCAAAGGTAAATACGTTTATAAACTTGAAAACTTAACTTATTCTTTATAGGAGTCAGATGACTAAAAATATATATTCAAAAATGTCTTTGGACATCAAAAAGGTTACCACATTGATTCATGCCTTCCTCATTATTACCAACTCAACAGATGGGTTTACATTGTAATGTAACATGTTACAAACTGGTAGTATTCATATTGTGAACACAATTCTACATTGAAAATCCAAGCAGACTTGCGTTGATCATGCCCACCTGAGCAGGTGGCATTACGCTTCGCCACGCCCTCTTTGTGGCTGTCAATCACCAGGAAGTGCATGTGAGACCAAAACCCAGGAGCGTCTCAACAGTTGCCTTGTGTGATGAACGCCATGGGAACTATAGACTAACGGAGGAACTATTGAGGTCGTGCTTTACTGCTCCTGGCTGGACAACAGGCTGTGTTTTTTTGGACGAGGGGAGTGAGAGCCTCCCTGTGCCAGGCGCAGAGCTGCTCTCAAAGAAATGGCTCCAAGTCTTTCTGTCCCACCGCTGTCATTGCTGCATTTCTGGCTGTTCTTGTCTGCGAGAGCGCTGGAGATGATTGACGGAGACGCACCTGAACTCACCTGCAGCGAGGTATATAGCAAGTCGCCATGATCTCTTGTTTATCATTGTCCTCATGAAACTAGATTACAACAGAGTGACTGCAACCTACACTTACACATTTTACAGTAGGCTTTATTGTGCACTTTAAAGTGACTTTAATGAGCACTTATTGAACTTTTTTTTTAAACGATATTGTTACTTGGTGATCTATATTACCATCTTTATTTTGACATGCGTTTTGAAACACAAGGCATCTCTCAAGGACAGAAAACATCAGTTTGCTTTCTTTCTTGTGAAAAAAAAAATTGAATATGCTTTTGAAAATGTACTGTACAGGTGATGTTTAAAGGTTGAATCAAGAGAGACAAGGCCAGAGATCTTAAATATGAGAGTTTAAAGTTAATTACTTATTTACTCTCATGCCTGAGCATGAAAAGTACTCTACTGCTCTGTTTACAAAGTGGCTGGTTCAATTCTCCTTGAATTCAGTTATAAATAAAGGCAAAACAACCACAGGAAAAATGAACACATTTAGTGTATTACACATACAGGCACACAGCGTCAAAACATTACATCAACAAAGGTCAATAAAACTTGATGTTCAAACGTTTTATGAGTTATTTATCTTGATTTACAAAGTAACTTTAACAGCTCTCAGTTGTCACCTGTCCAGAGTGTACTTCCCTGTTAAAGTGTCAACAATAAGCCTACTTGATTGAGTGATAAGTCAACTAAAACACTTCTGATCACTAATGTTTTTTTTTTTGTCAATCGTTGTAGACATTCAAGCAAGATTTGCTTGCTCCAGTAAATAACATGTAACAGGGTTTTTTTCTTTCCTTTTCCTGTCGATTTTATTCTAGAAAATAAAGTATTTTTTGACCTTTTGATCAGACAAAAGAAGCCAATTCAAACGGGCATTTTGAGTTCTATAGGATTTTTACGAGCTTTTTAACAGTTGTTAAACAGGTTTTTAAGTCAAACAGTGTATTCTTGATTACTCAGAAGAATAAACCAAACATTAATGTATTGTTGTTTGCAGCCCCAAATAAAGCAATGGATGTATACACATTTTAAACTAACGATTGAAATCGCATTTAGAGTAGTTCGATTAACATCCTGTAGAAAACTACAGTATAAAAGAACCCAATACAACTAAAATGACAGGTTGTAGTATAACTACAACCTCTATTTTCTTCATAGTACACAAACTATTAGGTATCAAAGGTGTGGTAGTGTTGTTTTTACTTGGGTTAAGAATCTGTCTAATCTACTTCTGAATCCTTAGCTGTTACAACCCTGTCATGTAAGAACAGTGTTGTTTACAGGTGAGGGGTTTTATTTTTTTAATTCTCATCTCTTCCTCCTTCAGGGTTTGACTGACTGCGACGTGAGCTCAGGTAGCAACACGATTAACAGACCAACACACGTTTAGCTCAACTCATGCTAACAACCTCTTACTAAAGCAGGCATGCACTCTGTAAAAATAAGAAACTCTCTTCTTTCCACAGAGTCTCTTTTTGATTATTCTCCACCAGATCCAGATGACACAACAAGCATCACTCATGTGCAGCTTCAAGTGTGCCTGTGCTGTTCTGCTGCACAAGACTGTAAACCCTGCCTGCAAGTCAACATCACAGTCCAAGGTAAGTTTGTCATGTGTTGACAGATGAGGTGACTCATCATCACCTTATTTCCCATAATTCGTAACATATTTCCTTATGACAATGAAGGTCTTTGTTATCATAATGTACCAGAGTTCCTTGCATAGTTATTTACTGCATCCCTAACATAGTTTTTTAGCAGCTTGTAAACCAACCAGCTGCTGATGCGGTTTTTAAAACATTGTGTTCTCTGCTGTAGTATTTACTGACTGTGATTACATTGCCCATGAAGTTGCAGAATCGGGTAACACTAAGGACATTTCTGAGGTATCTGGTCACCATAACAATCGTGAGGACATCTTTATCACGAGTCAAACTGTGGAGGGAAGTGGTCAGTTTGTGGCTCCGGAGCCAAAAGGTAAAGAGGCACACTCTCAAGCCAAATAGATGCATTGTATTTAAAAAAATAAAAAATAATATATATATATATGTCATTTTTGTCATACTTTGTACCTATCATATTCTGTGCTCTTCTCATTACAGCTTCAGTGAAAGTGTGTCACATCTCCCCAGGGTCCCATGAGTTTTGCAAGATGCTTGAGTTTAAACCAAAAAACTTGGGTTTCGACCAATCACAACATCACACACTTCAGGTGATGAGCGAAAGTCGAACAATTGTGAAGGACAAGTGCAGTTATTGTTAATTTTTTCATTATGTGATTTATTTAAAGTAGGCCTACTTGTGCCATATTTGGGACTCTAGTTTCTTTGACTTTATACTTTTACTCCACTACATTCAATTGAAAATATAGTTTACTTTGCATATTCATGCTTTACATTTAAAACATAATATTATAAAATGCAGGGTATGAAACTGCTAGTTGCCAATAATTCAGCTTGTGACCCCTGTACAAGTAATGTTGCTTGTATCACTGCAGATTTTCACTGCAGAATGACTATTTTTGCTTTTATAGTATGTTTAATTATAGCTCCACTTTACTTTTAATATCACAACATATCTCTGTATTCTTTATTCCAAAGTTTTTATGTCTGTAAGTTTCTATTCCAGTGTTTTCACTGTAAGTGTGTTTATTGCAGCTACTTCTGAGAAAGAACATGATGTTTGGCAGTCCTGTTGTAGTCCACGCCTTTTCAACTTGGATGGTTCAGACAGCTTTCGAAATACCACAATCCCATCTTTAGATAAAGGTGAGTGGTGTCATATATGAATGACTCACTGAACCGCAGATTGCTAATTTAACCAAACAACAACTTCATTTTTCTTTTGTTCAGTTTGCTCCATAGACTCCGAGTGGGCTGTAAAGGACTGTGCTGGTAAGAGATGCTGTCAAATTTGATGTATTAAGATTTTCAGTTATATCATAGGTATGTGATTTTCTTATTTCTCTGGCTGTCTTTAAAGATAAGTATTGTATACGTTTCAGTAATGAACATGCACAAAGCAGTGCCAGCTAAAAACAGTTAACATACTTACAGAAAGCCTCATCTCAGTACTTAATGTTATTGATGATGTCTCTGTCTCAGTTCCCAGACTCCGAGCTGTGACTGATCATAAAAGAAAAGAAGTCCTCCTTCAACTGGAAAATAATACCAATACCTCACAAGACAAGCTCATGCTTCGTATGGTTTGGAATAACATATCTGGAGAGGCTCTTACATGGGTTAGTAAGTCCTAAACTAGTCATATAAATGTGCTCTAATTATCAAAAATTAAATGTCCCTGCGTATTACTCTTTAAATTAACTTTAATATCTTTGCAGCCTAAAGGCAAGACAGAGATGGCCGTTTCGTCAGATGTTGTTGCACCATGCCTGTGCTTCGAGGTAGCTCATGACTTCATTCAAGCTTAAGAAGAAAAAGACCGCTACAAGTGCCATTTGGAAGTAAAGAGTTACTCTTAAAAATCTATGTTTCAGGTGTGGTGGAAGGGAAAGGAACTACGCAGACAATTCTGCCCTTTCAAAAACAAACAAGGTAAACGCTTAATAATGGTGAACCAAGAGCAGAATACATTTGTGTGGGAAAAATGTTTAAACAGCAAAACATTTCTTTCCCAGATGCCCTGGAAAGAATGCAGCAGAATGTGTCCATTGCTGTTGTGGAGTCTTGGATGAGGGACGGCACGCCAAGGCTGAGATGGAATGTGACTGCCCCCTGCAGGCTGGAGGGAGAGGTGTGGTTGTGCAAGAAAGACCAGGCAGGAAGCCTGTGTAAGGAGGTGGTGGGCTCCAAACAGAGACTCAACAACCATGAACATGCAGGCTGGAGGGCATCGCGCAAGGTACACTGGGTAAGAGGAAAGACTTGGATTACGTTGCCAGCTTTATCGTCTTCAGTGTTGGGAAATACCAAGTAGCTTCAGCCTGTTGCATAAGTTACTTATGTCAAATTTTGAGTTATCATTATCATTTCAAGTGTCAATTTTACCGAATATGTTTCCCCACAGCCGCAACATTAAAATACTGCTCACATCGTGACAATAATGTGATGGTATAATATATAATAATACAAGTTATCAAACAGCCTGGAGAGTACTTCCACGTATGACATGGCCACAAATCTGTTGTTTCCTCCTTTTTATGATTTTATATTCATTGACTCCTTAATTTACTCTCCAGCAAACCGGAGAATTCAACACATCTTCACATCCTCTGCTTTGCATCCAGGTGATCATTGTCATTGTCCAGTTATAATTAATGCAGTCCATTACCATTACATTGTCAACATGTTTTGCTACTTTCTGTCTAGTCTGTGCTAACCTCAGCCCTGCTAATCATTTCTTAGCTTCAAATCGATGGGATGAAGTCATACTTTGAACCTCATTGTCCTTTCGCAGTAAGACTTTCAATTATTGCCCAAATCTAGATAAAATGTATTTGTTTAAAACGGATCGACTAGGACAACACAACATTTTTTTGATGACTTTTATTATTTATTTCCCCAGGATCTCGATTGAGATGGAGTCTGCCTTTTCTAATTCCATCACTACTTATTTGCATTTCCATACTAGGAGTCTATTTTATACAAGGAGTCCTAAAAGGTCAGTTTATTTATTTGAATCTTTACGCCACAAAATATTAACTACATCATAACAAAATAGCTCATTGTATCGTTTCCTTTCAGGCTACATGTGGAGATGGTTGAAAGAAGATGATGTCAAAGGTACGAGAGTTTTTTTTTTTTTACACTCATCTATTTTAACACGATAATATATGGTATTTTTTATATACTGTGTCCAAAATAAATACAAAATAAAATAAAATATGTGTAATCCTCCAAAAATCATGATCTTCAAACTTTATAAAAATGTTCTTCTCTGGTTCAGGTGCTGTAGGTGGCGGTCATGTGGTGTTGCTGTACCCATCTGATGATGACCAAGCTCTGCCAGAACTGATGAGCCACCTTGGGTCGTCCCTCCAGGCCTTGGGCTTCAGCGTGTCTTGGACCTGTGGAGCCAGGCTGAGCTGGGTGTTCTGGGTCCTGTGCCATGGCTCCACTCAAGACTAAACCGATTGCAAAGGCAGGGCGGTAAAGTGGTCCTGGTCCTCACCCAGACTGCCTGGATCAGAGCTGTAGAATGGGGTGCTGGGAGCTGGGAGAGGAACACCCCAAGGAACGGAGACATGAAGCCAGAGGAGGAGGTGGAGGGAAACTATGATGTGTCCTCTCAATGTGTAGACGTTTTACTGCTTCACTGAGCTGTATTCTTGCAGACTATTTACAGGGCCGTGCCGGTGAGCGGTTCATGTTGGTTCAATTTGAATCACTTCCACCTGAGCCTCCAGGTGGATTCAGGCCATTGCCAGAACTTTTCCGTGGCCTTCATGTCTACAGCCTCCCCTCCCAGAGCCTTGGTTTTCTGACTGAACTTGCAGGGGCTCGACAAATGGCAACAGCTTCTGCAAGAAGGAAAAGGGCAGGCGGGCTAAGGCTGGCATCCCGAGCTCTGGCACGAGGGCTGTCTGGGTTCACAGCGGGGACCACTGTGTTACGCCTTGCAGGGGTGTCGCAGGGTTGTGTGGGTGTTGAATTTGAAGACTCTATGGAGACAGTTCCATTAAAACCATGTCTTGTTAACTCCTCCCTCCAGCCCTGACTCAAGCCAGAAGGTCAGTACAATGGAATGGGTCTGACATCAGGAGAGGACGACACATGATGTAAATTTATTGGCTGAACAGAGGATAATGAGATATGTTACTCTGGGAGATGTTCAGCTTTTACAGTTTCTTAAAGCAACAAAATGATATTGGTGCTGGATCTTGTGGTTATTGGAAAAGGTTTTTTTTCTATGTTCCTTCATGTTTCTGTTATTGAAAAGCTTTTTCTTCTAAAGGCTGACTTGATACATAAACACTAAAAAACTACACTCAAGGAATAATATAGTATTTATACACCGTTTGGAAAAAAAGTGTCTTTTGAAAGCTTTTTATTTTTATAAATGTCCCCTTCTGTTCCCTCCTTTCTGTTTTTTTACTCCTTGTTTTTATTGTAACTCTTCATCGTCTCATACGCGTATAACCTTTGTTATAATCTGTTTAGCAGTAATTACACATCTTAAATTGTCTATTCACTTCATAGGTGGTTTATCTAAATCTATCCAAACTGCATGTCACGTACAGTCAACCATGGGCTGCAACATATTTGTCATTTAAAGCTTGTGTGAGGTCCTTTCATTGTTGCCCTCTTGACAAAACTGTAGCTCTTTTAGCTGTTCTGAGTTTGTGTGTATTTATTCAACAAGAAATGTTTTAACCTTCAAATGTACCACTCATAGGGAATTCATTCCATGGAAAAGAAAAAGTGTATATCTAAAGGTCTGCAGCCAGCTGTCATCACTTCAATCCACACCATACACCCTCTGGCTGTAGTCCCGGGCATTAAAAATAACTACATAGATAAAGCCAATCTGTATTGTGATGATCTTGTTTGCTTTTGTTGCTCATAAAGAAGCTTCAGTATTAATTTTTAGTCTGTTTCATAATCAGTCTTAAAAAAAAAAAATGGGTTGCTCACCAAAGATAATGCTTTGTGCACTTTATATGTGACAACACTACCATACTGCCCATCTGTTTAGTATTTGGCGTGGTGTGATTGGTTGAAGACTGAAATCCCCTGCGGGGTTGGGCGGTGCCATGGTATCCTGGGTGGCTCAGACAGCTGCTGCATGGAAAGCAGAGAGAGAGAGAGAGAGAGAGAGAGAGAGAGAGAAGCAACTGGAAGCTATTCACTTGATTCAACTCAATGCACACTAGCTCTACAGCTACGTAGCTAGCGAGTTATCAAGCTGGTTGGCCATTGCAGTGGCTTACCCAGTAGAAATGACACATTTAAAGCTTTAACAAGGGGCTTCCAAAAATGTGAAAGTCTGCCTGCGTTGTGTAGAACCAGGGGGGCTGGGAAACGGAGACTCATCATCAGTGGTGCAGCAGACGTGGTGGCTTTGCAATAAGGTAAGATTTGCTTTCGGCTATCTTCTTACAGTATTACTACAATAAAGGCAAACACTGGAGGACGCTTTAACGTCATGATAAAGCGGGGGGGGGGGGAAACCCCGGATTATAACAGTGAATTTTAGCTTCGTCTAGCAGCTATTGACCTTAGCCAGCTGCTACTTGGCTTATTTTTTTGTGGTGCTGATGCTGAGCTAGCTAAGCTAACTGTGACAGAGGAGCATCCTGACCAGGCTAATCAGGGAATTAAGATGGATTTTTATATTTGAGATGTACTTTTTTATTTAGTCTGGGTTAATGCAACCGTTTGTGTAGAGCTATCACGGAGACACTTGATGATTATATTGTGTGTAAGTAAGGGTATTTTGTTTATTATTTATTATCAATGTAAGACAAACTTTATGAAAATCAGGCTGCATATAACAGTGGTGGACAGTATTATAATGCAACATTACAGATGTTCTGGGTGTTTGCAAAATTCAGCTTGTGCAAGTCATTGCAGGATCTCTTATGTCTCTAGATATGAGATAGGCAAGTATTCCTTTATACTCACTGTGATGAAATCTTATTATTATTAAATTATGTTAATGTTATGTTTATTATGTTAATTTCCCATGTTGTACATGACTGGTTGTGTGTGTGTGTGTGTGTGTGTTTTCTGAAGGATCATGTGGTGGGCCTGGCCTTTCCTGCCGGCCCTTGTGCTTCTCTCAGAGCTCTCTGTGGTGAGAGTCCAGACTGCACCATGCCAGACCTGCCGAAAACTAACAGAGAGTTTCATTAAGGTACCGGCGGAGAAGTTACAGTGAGCCATCAGTTGTGCTTGGTCTTTTAGAGACAAGTTTTTTTAATGAAGTCCTGAGTCCTGTGATTTTTTTTTTTCTCCCCATATTTTCAGGGCTTGGAGACAACAGCTAACAAGAACTTTGGGGGAGGTAACACTGCCTGGGAAGAAGAAAAGTTGGCAAAGTATGCACGCAGGTAAGAAAAAGTCTGAACTATACAAAACGCTTTATTTTATTAAAAGTGTAATGTGTTAAAATTTGCATCGCTAGAACCATCCTACAAAATATGAGTCAGTGTCTGAAGTTTGTTCCTTGCGCATGTGTATAATATCGTTATGTATTATTAATGACATAAGAGTCTATTTTAAATGATACAGACCACTAAAGGGAGTTAAACCCCTCAGTGGGCCGGAGCTATTCGTCCATGGTGGGCCGTGGTGGTGGAACAGCATCTGATCTCTTTTGTGCTTGTCTTTGCGCGTCTATTGGCTCCCTTTTTATTTCAGCGAGACTCGGCTCCTCGAGATTGTAGAAGCTGCTTGTGAGAAGGCCGATTTTGAATGTAACCAGCTGCTGGAGCAGATAGAAGACCAAGTGGAGACATGGTGGTTCCACAGGTAGATGTGAAATCCTGATAGTTGAATAAGTATAATCTCACATTTATTCTTTGCATGTACATTGAGATGGTTTTTGGCCTCAGCTGTTATGTTTTGTAAGGATGTATTACCATGCCCCTGTTTTAGCTCCATTAGTGACATGGTGTATGTGTCCTCTAGGCAGCTGGAGGCTCCAGACTTGTCTGAGTGGCTGTGCATAGAGGAGCTAAGACTCTGTTGTCCACCTGGACGCTTTGGACCTGAATGTAAAGGTATGAAAAACATAAAATATTAAAAGAAGCTTCTTGATATAAGGATTGATTAACAACTAAAAATGCTAAACCAAGTACCAAGTGAAACTTTATGAATGTGTAAAAAAAAAAAAAAAATGTTCATGCTGATTCCGAGGCTTGTTTTGAAGTGGCATACTGATCCAATACAGAGTGTCCATCTGGCCCTGGTGGTGTGTGTGGAGGTCTGGGGCGCTGCGAGGGAGAGGGGACTCGCCTTGGAGATGGAGAGTGCGTCTGTGATCCTGGGTATTCAGGAAGTCTCTGCCAGAGCTGTGCTGATGGTTACTTCAGAGAGAAAAGCTCCAATGAGAGTGCAGGAGCCTGTGCAGGTGCCTCAGATCGACTCAACCGTTTCAACCCCTCGAGATGTTAGGATGTGTCTCAGGCTATCCAACGTGGTCGTTTTCAAAACTTGACTCTGTCTTTCATCCTGTCTAGCTTGCTACTACTCATGTAAGAAATGCCTTGGCCCGCAAGACTACAAATGCCTCGACTGCAAACCCGGCTGGATCCTTCATGACAACAAGTGCGTGGGTGAGTGTGTCTTCAGAGATCATGTGGTAGCACATCATCGACTGTGTGCCAGTTTCTGGTGTCCTAATGCTTGACTGCACTTGTATGTGTTTCAGACGTTGACGAGTGTGGCACAGAGCTGGCTCGATGTGCTTCTAACACGTACTGTCACAACACCGATGGATCTTATGAATGCAGAGGTAGGTTCTCTGGTTTTGTTACTCTTTAATTACTGGAATCAGCTTTGACGTGTAGATTTCACGGTGCTGCTATGATTTGTCTTTTAGGATTGTGAAGCAGGGTTTCAGCTTAATTTGCAAAATATAAAAAAAGGAATCAAAATCTACTACATCTCATCACAAAAAATGAAAGTTTGTCTGTCTTGGGCAAACCAGTGATTCTTTTTTTTTATCGGTTTTATTTCTGTTTTTCTTGAAGGTATTGTTTATACAACATGTCAAAAAGTAGTAACAAAATGCTGGTTGTACTTTGCCCCACCTCACAAACGTGTGTGCAAATGGATTGTTTGTTTTTATTTTATTTTATTTGCTCTTTGACAACGACAGCAGCAAATGTCTCTTTGAGAAGCTAGCTGTTGGATAATCTTGCTTAATCAAAACTAAAGCAAGTCAGATTTTTAAAAAAAAACAATGTTTCTGTGTTCATCTCCAGCTGAAAGGCCTTCATAAACTCATCATCATTCACTTTAGTTTTGGCATCGTGCTCATATGCCCAGCTTTGGTTACTAATTTTTTTCCTTTGCGTCCAGGATGTGACCAGGCATGTGTTGGCTGCATGGGCAGTGGTCCTGCTCGCTGTAAGAAATGTTCACGTGGCTACAAATTGAAAGGAGCGAAGTGTCTCGGTAAGGATGTACCACTCATTTACTGAATACGTGTATCTATGCCACATATGTGTATGTTTCTCTCATTCTCTTTTTCTTTCTTGCTCCCCCTCAGATGTAGATGAATGTAGCGAACGTGCAATAGCATGCCCAGGACTCAATGAGGCCTGCACCAATGAGGAAGGCTCCTTCCACTGTGACTGTGCTGATGGATTCATTAGAAGAGATAGTATTTGTGTTGAAAATAAGCCTCCTGGTAAGTAGCCCTAATAGGGATTATTCCGACATAAATTGCTGACAGCTTCTCCAATATGCCCATTAAGTTTCTTTTCCTCTAACTCCTCAGCTGGCCCGGAAAAAGGTCTGTTTGACGACATGACGGACGACGAGGTCCTCGTGCTGCAACAGATGTTCTTCGGCGTCGTAATCTGTGCACTTGCTACGCTTGCTGCTAAAGGTGATATGGTTTTCACCGCCATTTTCATTGGAGGCGTGGCTGCTATGGCTGGATACTGGCTGACAGAAAAGGGAGACTACATGCTCGATGGAATCCTGAAAGGACGCTAGACTGAGATGGTCCACGATTTTTGAAAAAGGGACCTTCCAATACCAGCTGGTTCGAGGGCAGGAACATATCCCTACAATGCTAGATTTTTTTCAGGGATTTATTTGGGATCGGGAGTTACTTAAAAAGGGCTTTGACTCATTTATGTTTAAGAATAAGAAAAGGCTGGAAAGTGAGAACTTGAAGGCTCTGAAGCCATGAAGAGGAAATAACAAAGCACCACTGCACTGATGTAAAGGAACTGAACTTGTAACCCTACCTCAACTTTTGTTGGGAGCAAAGGGGGACATGAAGACCATTACTGATTGTTCAACTCTATTATGCATATTGATGTCTCATGTGGCATTTTTGTTGCTCAAGAAATGATGTCGTTTCCTTCCACACAATCAAAACCTCCAGTCATTACGTTTGCAGGTTTTTTTAATTATTTTTTTTAGATCATTGCTATGAAGCAAAAGCGTTCCCATAGACGGACTGGTTTGCAAGTTCAGTCTAATGTGTCAGGATAATGAGACACTGAAGCGTCTCCCAATGAGCATAGGAGTAGACAAGGGGATTTTTAATGAAAACTCTGGGATGTTTTCATTATTATTTATTCACAGAATGACTTTTTACCTCCTAACTCACTGAATGATTCTTTTTAGCTTAATGCATGAAAACTAGGATTTCAAATGAAAGGTACGACACTGTATGTATTGATTCACTGTCTTCTTTAGCATGGAACCACAGTGACTCCATAATGAGGTCGTGAGGAGATGTGCTAAAGTAAATACCAGCTCTAATATGGATGTTTTCAGACATTTTCTGTTGCAATTTTAATTTATTTCCAAAGCAATATTTATTGGAAAGATGTTTATTATATTAGCTTTGTATATTTTTTGCGTCTTGTTAGTTATAGCTTTTCTTTTCTTCTCAACAGGTAGAGTAGCATTACGTCACAAAGCCTTTGAAGCGTCACCTCCTTACCTGACCATCTACTTTGTTTTTCCTTGTAAGGAAAGTTTTCCACATATTCATTATCTGGTATAAAAGTTTGATTTACAATAAAAGTCTGTCCCTCTTAATGTTATTTATTTTACAAGCAGAGTAAAGGGGAAACATTGTAGCGTAAGGAAAAGGATTTGATACAATTACATGTTGAATCATAGTCTATAGGACGTTTTAAATAAAGTTATATAAAGTGTGGTTTGATTGAGCTGAAGACTACCAGCATGTACGTGAGAGAAATCTTGGTGGTCAAGTTGCATTGTTAGGTCATGTATGCGCCAGGTACTTTACAAGCAAGGAAGAATGCATGGAATAAAATGAGTCAACATCTCTAGCACCCTTTCATTTTTGTTGTTTTTCAAGCAAGATTTTAAAAAAGAAGGATCTGATTTAAGACAGTATTTTCTCAATTCTAAGTTTTTTAAATTCCTTTTGTTCATTCAGTGGCTATCTCATTACTGATGCCATTAACACATGTACTGAACACACTTTGTTGCATTCCACTTGTTGTGATCGAGAGATGTAGAAGTTCAACCTATTTCAGAGTTCCACTCCAGTTAATGGGGTTAAGACAGAGCAGCTCTCGCTCCTTCAGGGCCTCCTGGGAGCGTGTAAGTGCTCTGTCTCTCCAGCTCTGCTCCATTAGCTATACAAATACACACACACACACACACACACACACACACACACACACACACACACACACACACACACACAGCACAGGGAGAAACAAAACAAAAAAACCTCAGACACTCCCTTTATTGTTGTAACCTGGGAGCAGCAGTATTGGTGTTTGACTTTACCCGCTTGTTCTCATCTCTGTATGCAGTCATTGCTTTTCTGTGCTGGATCATTTGCTCTCTTTCACTGGACAGGGCGAGGCGGTCCACTTCTTTAACATATTCTGCCTCCTTCCCTTTACTGGCCAGCAGGAGCTTCAGTGCTGCATATTTCTCCTCTATCTGCCTCTTTAAGTGCTCCCGGAGCTCCTTCCTAGGAAGGGAGTGTCGTCAGTAAAGGTTAAGTACTTATTGAGAATATTGTGCAATCCACATTGAGTTCTACCTGTACTCTTCTCTCTCAATGCTGGATCCATAAAAAGGTTTCTGCCATACCTGATGGTATCTGAGTCAACAAAAGACAGTTAAATTTGAACTCAGTGTTTCAGAGCACAGACAGTAATGGTATTTGTATTTTTCCACTTAAATAGACCTATTACAATAAATGATTGGTCAAACATTACAACCTGTAATGCTCTCTCCTCTGCAAGAGGAGTGTCCTCTGCTGGTTGTGATGGTGAACAGCCGGCGTCTCCAGACAAACGGTGCGTTTGAGGACCAACGGGGGATGTAAAGGGTTCAGTCTTGGAATACACTAGGAAGATTTATGAAAGTGATTTCCCCTCTTTTTTTCTAATAAACATTGTCATCTCATTACACAGAAAAACAGTCACATCATACTGAATGAAGTGACAGTGAATCTCTGCTCACTTGAGTGCTGGTCCACAGCCGGGCAGAGTCTGAGATGATGGGAAATGTCCTGGGCGGGACCACCATGCAGCGACTCCGCTGGACAGGAGGTGTGTTGTGAGGGAAACACACAGGTGTGGAAGCTATGGAGATGGCTGCTGTCGTACACAGAGTCACAGCACATGTTTAAAACATTTGCCAGTGACACTACACAGATGAAAAATATTAAAAAAACAAAAAAACAAATCTGTTCACTTACGTAGTTTCATTTTTTAGTTCAAGCTTCTTTCTTCTGTTCACCGGAGAAAGTCTTTGTGGAAACTTTCCAAAGTTTAAAATCCTAATTACTGAATTAGTTTTTTTAAGTTGCAAATCTATTGGCAGTAAATCACAAGATAAATCTAGCAAATGACTGTACTTGAACTAGTTAGAGATTAAACCGTGACATGCCTGTGCACTCACTCAGTTTTGCAGTGGCAACAGTTGCCTTGGGAATCAGGTTACCCCCTCACAACAAAAAAAAAGCTGCAGCGTATAGAGAGTCATGCGTCAGTGCATTACAAAGGAAAGATTATTAGCCTGTGACAAGGACCAACCAGTCAGAAGATGTCTCAGAGCCAGTCAGTCTGATTGAATAATACACTCATGAATCATTTCAACTTTTAAACCACTTAAAACATTTTTATTTCACATTAAAAGCATTTTCACTTACACTGATATCTTTGAAAATTCACATGCATTATTTGCAAATTCAAGATCATTATTTCCAGTACAAAATAAACACTATTTTACAGGTAATACATTGGTTGAAAAGGATTTTCCAGTCTGTGGTGAAACAAATCCTTTTTTTTTTTCCTTTGCAGATCCTCAAGCTTTGTGTTTTCATATTCCGAGTGACTCAGCGTTCTCCCAAAGCCAGGCATGGTATTTATTTAACATGTGGTCCTCAGGTGTCACCTATGATATAGAACAAGTTATCAATATCAGATTTCTGTGCTATTACTTAAGTCATTTGATCCACTTTTAACATATTTGGAGTTGCACTCACCTGTCTCCATTCTTCCACGCAGAAGATCCTGTAAGAGTCGTTACCATACTTCCCAATACCATGCAGCTCAATGGGGTAACGCCACTGTTTAGTTAAATATTCATCTATACAGGAGGGAACAGAGTATGAGGTCTTCTGGCTGCTGATGTGAATTCGAATTGTTTCTACTTAAACCTCAAAAATGTACAATGACAACATTTACCCTGAGGCTGTTATTGCACTAAAACTACAGTTTAAACAGTGTGGATGCTGCAATCTGTCACGCACAGCAGATGAGCACATTTACCTGAGAAGCGGACGAGTGTTTTGGCTCTCAGCTCAAACAGGCCTAAAGGCGTCATAAGCTCAGAAATGGGCTTCCAGTCAGCCACCCGGGTCACTTCCGCAGAGGGGTACCGCTCAAAGAACTGCCACAGCACTGGGATTGCCATTTTTCCTGGGGAATAAGATTATTAAAATAACACAAAGAGAGAAATGCTCAACTTGAGCACCGGCTGGCCGTGACAAGAATGAAATATGTCTTTCCTATTTTGGGATCTTACCACTTGTCTTGTTCAGAAAAATAGTGGCCACCAGAAGCTTCCAGGGGTTGTGGAAAAGAGTTTCCTGTATGAGGTTATAGGGAGAGCGAGGGGGGGTCCATTTTTTAAAGGCCTTCCTCCTGGGTGGGCTAAGGCCTGAGTAGAAACAATGTAAATCTTTGCTCAGGCCACACACACAACTGTATTTCATGCAATAAATCTTGAGCTCTACTTTATGTCTCACGCGGGAATATACACAAACTTGATTCTTGTATTGAATTAATTATTTTGATATTACAATCTCTGTGGGGGTTCCGACTGAAATAAGGGCTGGTTTTTCGTTTGTCTTTCACGCTCTTGGACTCTGAAAGAGAAATAATGAATGTATGTTACAGAAAGGAAGGACTTTCTTATGACACAGAAGTAAAGGTGAGGGAAAAAAACGAAAAGCCCATTGCAACAGGGCAGTTCTTTAAACAACTACAAACTCTAAGGGTAATGTATGTCAAAAAAATAATTTTAACCCTTCATACAGCTTCCAAATGAAGGAAAATTCCCCGAGCAGTATTTTATAACCAATACTATATTGGAATTTAAATCAAATGTGATAAAGCGTACTCCATACTTGAGCATTTTTGACACTGAGTTGATTTTCGGGAATTTTTGGAAGTGAGCGTTTGTTTCATCATGCTGTATAAATGTCTAAAATCTAAATTTGCTCATGCCAATTGTTCCTTTCCCCTCCTTTTTAAAAAAAACAAAAAAACAACATATCTGCACCCCATTTTCCCCTGCATGTTGCTTGATTGGTTTGCTGAAATGTTAAATGGCATTAAAATTGTACTGTGCCATATAAAATGCTGCAGTAAAAAAAAACAAAAAAAAACATTTGCTTAAAAGAATGGAAGATTCAGAGAAAAGTTACTTTAAATGCTGTTCACACCAGCAATCAGATGGTGTGGATCATACTTACTATTCTGGGAATTTTTCAGTGGTATGCAGCTCTCGTCAGTGATGTCAGGTAACAACACCTCCTCTGGCACGTCCCCGTGACTGTCAGCATCACCCTCCAGTTCAGGATTAGGCTTGTTGTCACCTTCACTGTGAATCTGTATCTCCTCTTCCCCTCGTTCATCATCACCCTCTTTCTCACTCCCACTGGCAGGTTGGAAATTCAGAACCGGGACAGAAAGCTGCGAGTCTGTCTTCTTGTCCTCGTGAACATTAAAAGTGTTATGTTTGTTATTTGGAGAAGCCAATCTGAGCAGCTTCTCTCTAAGCAACCCTGCCTTTTGAGGGCTCCCCTGACATTTTAAATCAAAGTGTGCGGATGGCGCGCAGCACTTTATTTCATCCGTTTTGTCACATTGCTGAGTGATGATCTCTTCTGGAACTATTTCATTATTAATATGATTTGCATATTTTTCCCTCTTTCCTTTTTTTTCTGTCGCGCCTCTGATGAGGGAAGAGCTGGCTCCTTTAGATTTACTCAGAGGTTGATCCAGTGTATCCATAGCATCCTTTGTTTTCTCCTGCTTGCCAGTAGCTTGCCGTCTCTTTCTTGTCCCCTGTTTCACTTGGGAGGGAGTGTTTACACCATCGCCTTTGGTTGCAGAAAATTCAAAAAGGTTTATGTTGACTTCTCCATTTTTAAGCAGGAAAGCCTGCAGGGATGCTTTTGACCGGAACTTCAACCCTTGGGGACTTTAAAAACAAAAAGTTCCATTAGACACTGATCCAACTGAATCTGCAAAACACTTGGTGTGACATCCGATAACTGTAAAAGAAGATTTACCTTGTAATGTAGACATCCAGTCTCCCCACTGTCTTGCCTCCTTTCCTCTGCCTGACCTCCCTGACCCAGCCAGGGGGCATTGTTAAAGTACTGGGAGAATCAGCCCTGTCCTTGCATCTGTCGTCATTTATATCTCCATCTGTCTCCAGCTGCATGTCACAGCTAGAAGGAAGCTTGTCAAGAAGTGTGTTGTCTTTTCTGAGCCCGGCTGAGACAGTTGTGGATTCAGATGTGAAGGAGTATTTTTTAACACTGACTGTCTTGTCCAGCTGCTGACTTTTTACTCTTTCATCAGCAGCCATTTATGCTCTGTCATCTAGAACCTACAACAACATACAGTAAGTAGACCACATTACAATTATGTTGCCATAAAGTAGAGATCGGCGTGATGAGCAAGCGAAGCACATAAATGTTAATTCAACTGAGACACACGACAACTGGTCAGTCTGGATACTTCCTGAAAAGTTGCGTAGGACAAATCCGTTGCTGTACTCTTCCTTCTCAGCTACTTTCTGATGTCAACAACAATAGGGATACAACTCATGCGCCTTCTGCATGCAGGAAGTGGCGAGCAGGTTCGAGCATGCGCAGTAGGACCGAATCATGAAAACGGAGCTTAGTATGAAAAAAGGGACCAACCTGTTGTTATAGTCCTATCTGTTTTTTTAATAGGTGGAAATGAGAGCCGTTCTAGCATGGAAAGACACAGTTCGTGAACAATGGTGAGACTTTAAGTTATTCCGTTTACACTGTCAACTTGTGTCACAGTACTGGGATGTAACGCTAGGTCGTTAGCAACGACGGTTGCTATGTAAACTAGTGTTAGCCAGCTAGCTGCGTAAACTAGCAATAGCACCATAGCAACTTGCTCATCGTTCCTATAAGACCATTTTTAAGATATTACATATTTTTTTTAAACTTGTATGTCGTGCAAAATATGTGCACATTTCATGCCGAAACATGAAGCACTGTTTAAAGCATGCTCGGTAATGGAAATGTTAAGTAAGCTAGCTGTAGCTGGGTTGTTGCTGTTTATGATTTCTTACTCTTAAGTGACGAAAAAAATGTGTTTTCTGAAGCTGCCAAGATCTATTTAGTTTTTAATCCCATGTAATCAACATTCAACTCTTAATGCACCAAAACACTGAAATATTGGTAGGGCTGCAACAAAATAAAATAAACAAAGTCGTTATAATAATTAAATAAAAAAAACATCCTATCTATAGATAAAGTCTTTAAGTTAATAAAGTTTTGATTGAACTCTCTGGCTAAAATAAAAGTATGGACCATGTGACATACTTTTCTGTAATCCTGTTTTTCCAAGGTCATTAAAGTTACTTTTTTTCTATCAATTTATATTTTTACAAGTCCAAGGATGTTTTATTTACAACTATGAAATAATACTCTTATTTCAATTACTCAGTCAGTTAGACTTCAATAGCTGTGACTCATAACCATCATCATCATCAACCTCTATTTAAGTTCTCAGAGAGATCATTGAGAGGGACCCTCATTTACAATGATGCCGAGAAAACATACATAAATGACAAACAACGAATAACAAATGTTATCACAAGACACTTTACACAAAGAGCAGGTTTAGACCGGACCCTTTGTTATTTTATAGACCCCCAACATTAACCCACCGGGGAGCAAGCACATGGCAACATCTGGGCAACATTGGAAGAGAACAAGTTCCTTTTAACAAGCAGAAGGTCCAAGCTCATGGTGAACAGCCATCTGTAGGGACTGTGTGGGCGAGAGAGAGAGAGAGAGAGAGAGAGAGAGAGAGAGAGAGAGACTAACAGAGTAACAAAAACAACATGAACAAATAAACAGAGTTACATCCACCATGCTGATAATATGGCCAATTGATTTATAATATTAGCAGGAACAGCAGAAAAATGACAATAGTCTGATAATAGTTATTGTACCTGTGGAAGTCAACAGGTCTATTATTGGTGTTAACAGCTATGATACTGATAATGTGAATTGTGGAAGTAGGAGTCAAGCAGCTCAAGATTAACAATTATTATTATGGTAATATAAGTAAGACTGTGATACTGATAGTTGAAGTCAAGCTCTAACTATGAGCTTGATCAAAAAAGAACATTTTAGCCATCTCTTTAAAATTAGGAATAGTGTATGTATTTACATTTTAACAGATCATCACAATGCCTATCTACTAATAGCTTAATTAAATGGATGTTTCACTATTATTCTCATTTGCAGTGTTTATGACCTTGCCTTCAAGCCAGATGGCAGCCAGCTTATTGTTGCAGCAGGGCTTCGTGTCCTGGTAAGGCTCTCATGTTTTCTTTGGCTGAGGCACAAATCTTTCAAGTACATTTTCTACTGTGACATTTAACATATTGTGTTTTTGTTTCAGGTTTATGACACAGCAGATGGAAATATTATTCAGCCTTTAAAAGGACACAAAGACATAGTGTACTGTGTGGCTTATGCAAAAGATGGTGCGTACGATTTTTGGGGTTTTGTTTCCTCATTTGTGTCTTTACTTGTTTCTGCACCAGGCCTCGTTTTTCTTCTGCTAACCATTTCACTCTGCAGGTAAAAGGTTTGCCTCAGGCTCAGCAGACAAAAGCATCATCATATGGACTTCTAAACTTGAGGGTATTTTAAAATATACGTAAGTGTCACTTTAGTTAGAGCATTAGTGTTAAAACATCCTCAATGGTGTACAACTGTCCAAACCCATTGATGCATCTGTTTATCTGTAGACACAATGACTCCATCCAGTGTGTTGCCTACAACCCCGTCACTCACCAACTTGCCTCCTGCTCTTCTGGGGACTTTGGTGAGTTTGGATTTTTTTTTTTTATATATATATATATATATATATATATATATATATATCTTCCCCTCAGAGATAAATGCAGTATTTCCTCTTCCACTAAACTTATTATATAATTCATATATTTTAAGATATTGACCCTATCAGGGACAGCTTTACTTCACATTCTTTACATTGTTAGGTCTGTGGTCCCCGGAGCAAAAATCTGTGAACAAACACAAAGTGAGCAGCAAAATAACATGTTGTGGGTAAGTCAACTGTTTTTTTTGTTTGTTTAACTTTCAGCAGCATTAGTCAACTTTAATGTGGCAAATTTATATTTAAGAGTTGCTTTGATGGTAGGTGGACAAACGATGGGCAGTACCTTGCCCTTGGGATGATGAATGGGGTGGTGAGCATTCGGAACAAGAATGGAGAGGAAAAGGTGAAGATAGAGCGTCCAGGTGGCTCCTCCTCTCCTATCTGGTCTATAGCCTGGAACCCCTCAAAGTGAGTTTTTATGAATGATTGCTGCACGAAACTGTAAGAAAAACAAGCACAATAGTATCCTGTCCTCACCAGTTCATTTGAATGATCTCCTTCCTTCTGGCCGTCGTTACAGAGTGCCTTGAACAGAAACAAGACGTTCCAGACATTCTTTTATACTCTTTATGTGTAGAGGGGTTAGACAGGTTTTTGTATTACAATTTTAGATTCTATTTCTGATGATTTAAGCCTTGTACTTTTTACTAGCCTGTTGCTGCTGCACGTTTAGACAAATACAGGCAACTCTCAATTAAAGGCCCCTTTGCATTTATTTTAGAAATAGTTAACTGATTAAAAAAAAAGAGACAAAATAAGTGCTGCATTTTGGCATAGATGGGCTGAGTTACAAAGAAAGATCGAATTAGACGTGTACACTGTTAAATATTCTTTATACATTTACAATTATATAGTCTTTCCCATCTTTACTGTGAGTGAGTTTGGTTTAAATATAATTAGAGGCCTGTCTCGTATTGACACCTGTCCCAAATAAAGGCAGGGTCATTTTATAAACTGAAGGAAATAAAAGCCTGGGCTATTAATAGAAGTTTTACGGTAATTCACTTTCTGTGCTGTGTCTTAACTTTTTCGGTCTCTGCCTCAGTGAGGTTGAAGTACCTTTGTTTTTCAATTGAATTGAGCTGTGGATTTTCAGTATGTCTGTATTTCTGATATTTTCCTTTATGTATCTGTCATGTCTTGATGACTGCTGCATATCTAATTTCCTTCAGGATAGTAATAAAGTTATAGATGAATATGAATGTATGTGCCCTATACACTAGTGTCCATACATGTAGCAACATTATGAGAAATGATTTTGGAATAAGAGTATGTCTCTTTTCAATTGAACAGTCTGTCTAGGGCCAGCAGGTGGCAGCGGTTTACCATTGTAAGTTTGAACAGATTCTGTGAGGATGAGGATTATGATGATGATGATAATGATGATGATGAGATGGAGAAGCTGTCCCCCGTCTTTGATGCTCCCTACAGTGAGAGCGAGGAGCTCAGATCCAGCCCCAGCCCAGAGCTACAGAACAGGTTAGGTGAGAAAAAGGGACAGACAGGAAGAAAAACTTATGCTGGAGAGAGGGTAAGGATGGCAGTGATGAGTTATAAATGAAATGATGCACATGATACAGTGTTATCTAGTGGCTTTATGGAATTGTATTGGTCATGTAAATTCAGAGCATGAAGTCTTAAGCTATTGAGGATTCAGTTTCACTCATGGACACTTCAAGAAGGTGAATTCTTCTCAGCTCAAGTGTTTACATGCATATATATGGGCTTACTGCATATTACAATAATAAAGATAAATAAGACTCTGGGTCTTGACATTGAAATACTGTGCCCTAGAGTAAAACAAAGTAAAGCTTAGAGCTTTCTATAAAGACCACGTTTCCCCTAGTTGAAGGGTAAGCTCTTGGCTGTGATTTAAAATGTTATCTCCACCTAAACAAAGAAAGAAGCTGCAGTACTGAATGTTCACAGGACTACTTCTGTCTAAAATCATTTGTGTTGTATTTTCACAGAGATGAGCACAATGACATTCTGGCTGTGGCAGACTGGGGTCAGAAGCTGTCCTTCTATCAGCTCAGTGGAAAGCAGGTGAATAAAGCACAGCTCTAATGTACAAATCCTGAGTCTTGTATTACAACAGCCTTCACCTGAATGCAACAAACACTGTCAGTGTATGTTGTACACGTACATATAGAATGAGCAGGTCTTATGCATTGTATTCCAATAAAACAAGCTTGTCTGCCACTTCAAACTGTTTAAAGGGCATTTAGGTGACTAAATAAAGGCTGTCTCATTAACTTGCATTGTAAATGCCAGCGCTCTAATAGCATTTTGAAACCCTGTCAGCTCAATGCACTGTATGCGCTATGAATTTCTATTGCAATAAAACCAAGAATACTAGGTCTGCTAAGTCTGCCTGCCTAAGATGAATATTATTGCAAACACTTTGGTGATTTTAAGACCTGTGTTTCCTGTTTTAATCAGTCTGTCAGGGTCTATTGAAACCATAACATTACATTGGAAGGGATCCTGCTAGGCTTTAATGGGCCCCTCACTGTCCCTCCTTCCTCCTAAATTCCCTTAAGGCAATACCATGATTATGGACAAATATGCACTGTTCATTACTCTGCCGTTATGCCTTTGGCTAATATATTGTCACTGGCCTATTCATCTCTTCCAGTGAACAT